AGCACAGGGCGCGCGGGGATCCGGGACGGTACTAGACACCCCGAACCCCCAATTCTGAACTCGAGCGCGACCTCAAAGGATTAAGTAAGCTGCTGTGTATGATACAACTACTCGACGTCACCTGCTGCGGACTGCGGACTGCGGACTGCGCGCTGCGCTCACTTGTGAAACCTACACCCAGTACAGGTTTCACAAGAGGTTCACATACTATTACATAATCATAAATCCTGCGGTACTTAGTTCCTTTCTCCCCATTCCCCTCCTAGCTCAGTAGAGACCCACTCACTTTCTTACTACTGAGCTAGGTGAGTGATTTCATTTCATATTTCTTTCTCATTATTATTCTTGTTGTTATTATTATTGTCAGAGAGACCCACTGACTTTCTTACTACTGAGCTAGAAATATAATCATACAGTGGTTCTAGAAACTGGTCTCCCAAAGCACTTGGCTTTGCTCTAGAACTCATCCGACGGACGGTGAAGGATTAAATAGAATCCTTACATCACTCTCTCTCAAAAAAAAAAAAAAAAAAAAAAAAAAAAAAAACCCAAATAACCCCCTTTCTTTTAAATTTCCAAGGTAAGGGGGGGGCTTTTTTTTTGCCCATTCTTTTTAGTAAGGAACCTGAAAACACCAGAATCAAAGGTGGAAGTAAGAACTTGCTCCTCCTAAATTTACACAACACAATGGACAACTCAACACGGCTAATTCCACGGCACCCTGGCGGGGAGTTTTTGGAGGAATTGTCTGAGGACAGACAATAAGTTGGGGGAGGATGTGGTATACCTTAAGGGTAGCCATCTGGCCCATTTAAAAATTTTATACTGTTCTACCTTTTATTACACAATTACACCTTTTTTCTCATATATACACGCACAAATCACCCAATATGGCTCAAGAACTGGATTCTATGGTCAATTTCACCCTTGGTCACCACTGGAGGCGTCACTGGAACTCAACTGGATTGGAAGCTACACTCTCTGGGCCATCACTACACTTAATTACACAACTCACCACCATGACAACACTTCAACACTTAACACCAACAACAAATTACACCATTCACACTACACACATGCACGTTGCAGGACAACTACATACTCACATCATTATAGTACAGGTATACACACAACTACACTATCTACTGACACTTGACATATGTAGCTTCTAGGCTGGTCCTGTTGCTATGTCACTTGTTAATCTTCCTTGCAGCTGTCAGACTATCTCACACCACTCATGTAATATTCATCACCTCACCTTAGCTTGCAGACTAGTACATCACCTCATGTAAAAGGCTTCACCAGCATAAAACCCTCATGTAGACTTCTAGATAACTCTTATGACATCATGTAGGTTGCTCAACCAGCCAAAATACCTCATGTACATGTTCTGACTAGCTAAATCCCCTCATTGTAAAGCTCTGGCCAGCTAAAATCTCTCATTCTCTTGTTCCCCTGAAGCTAAAATCCCTCACCTTTGTGTATTTAAGAGGCTCTCCTCTCAGTTGTTTTCCCCTCAGTTTAGTATCCACCTATTTCATACCCCCTACCCTTACAAACCCTTACATACCATTACATACCATCCCATTACATTGAAATATCAGCTAGACTCACTCTCTCACTCTCAAATCAACCTTTTTAGACCCTTATAAAACTGGGTTAAACCCTTTGTCCACCTGTTAAGCCACAGTTATCTTTTGATACACTCCACTATCACTTTATTAAACCTTCCAATCTGAGATTGGTGGGCTTGTCTAGTGTCTAGTGATCCAGGAAAGGCAGAGGTATCCTCATTCATCCCTTTCCACACTCAGCAAAAGGTTTTCACAAACACTTTTGAGCTTTACAACGTGTCGGCAGAGAGTCTCCTTCAACCACGAGAAGCGCCGGACCTTCAAGAAGGATCAATGAGACCCCTGAGTTGCAGAGGGAGGAATACCCATTCAAGACACCCAAGGAATACGGGGAGGAACACTCAATGGCGCAGCCAAATCTACGAAGAGATGGTACGCCTTGGGAGGTCTCTTCAAGGGACTTATCAACACTTGGAGAAAGGCAAAATCAACCGCCAACACCGCTTCATGGAAGAGGAGCCTTGAATATTTCCCCTACACCTGCGCGTGAAAAATTTCCTGATAGTTCTGATAGTGATTCTACTAGTAGGAAATCCAAATTGTTGTCTAGTGATTACTCTACGCCTCAAGTTCCCCATGAACATATCCCCATAGAAATTTCTCTACGCAGAGCTGTTAATATGCTTACTGAGAACATGAATTTTTTAGTACAACATACCTTAAGAAATAACAGAAAAATTACTACTGATATGAAGAAATTATGCCGTAAAATTGAGGGCAGCTGGGATAAAAGAGCTGATGAAGAAGATAATAATTTTACTTACATCAGAGATAAATTTATGATCATGGAAACTGGCCTTGAATTATTACATAAAGAAATGCCAGAAATGCTTGAGAAATTAGGAGATCAAACCACTCGAGTAATAACCAGAGTAGAAGAAAAATGGGAAGATATACAAAATAATAACAAAGAAATGCTCCATAAATTCAATAATATGGAACAAACTTTCCAGAAACTACAAAAAGACACGCTTGAAAAAATTAATTCACAATATAAAAGCTTTGAGGATGTTGTAAACAGGATAGAATTAAATAATTTAAATAAAAATAAAAATAATTCCGCCTGCATCATCAAATTAGAAAATAAAATTGAAGAATTAATTAAAATTAACCAAGAGCCTAACAGTTGCCAGAATTTAACATCTCAACATACTGTTCACGGCAAAGGAAAGGACATACCACCTCATGTAAATGTTGGGATAAACAGTATGCTTATATGCTTCTACTATAGTTATTCATTATGCTTTGTATTTAGTTTGTCTGATCCCCAATCCAGGAGCTCTCTCCTGATTGAATACAAACCATCTTGTCTCTTAGTGTCAGGTTCCTAGCCACAAGACATTGTCTGTGACATTCAGTCCCTGCGACCCTGTGCCCCTCAACAGGTTATGATCCCATGTCGCTCTAGCTCCACTTATTTCCAGTCCGACTCCCAGATTGTTTATCGCCGTTTCAAACTCGGATATACGAATTTTCAATTTCTCAGCTTAACAGATCATCTCGTTTCCGCATCGATTCTCGATCTGCTTGACATGCCTTATCGATTAACCCAAAATCCTTCGCCGTTAATTCCCTCGGTTCCGCAACTTGACGGAAACTCGGTAGTCTTCCCGGCGTGGCGTTCTCGGATCGAGGATGTCCTTGCGATCCAGGGGGTGCTCGACATCGTCCAGGGCAAAGTTCCTCGCCCAAAAGCCGAAGCAACTGACGCAAAGCCTCTAGTCCGTACCGAAAAAGGGTACAATCCTGAAGAATTCCGAACTGATTGGGATACCCTATCGGATGTTGCTCGATCAACGATCAAGCTCACCCTCTCTGTTGACCTATCCATTCGTTACCGCGACATCAAGCCGGCAAGCAAGCTCTATGATCAAATATGCGAGGCATATGAGAAGAATACTCGAGCTCGCCGACTAATGCTCGAAGATGCCTTCTGGACCGCTAAACACGATCCCAATGTCCCAATTGCCAAATGGATCGCTCCGGTGCGAATGGCGGCTTCTGACCTCACTAGCGTAAAACTGACTCCTCACAATCAACAAGTATGCGATCGTTTACTTAGGGGACTCGACGACTCATGGAAGCCGATCAGAGATCATTTAGTCTACTCTCCCAACGAGGTCTTGTTGGACGGCACCATTGGGGCTCTGGAATCGCACGAGGTCTCGACTCAAGTCTCAACCGATCACTACGACGCCTCGGCCTCTATGACGAAGGCAAAACCTAAGCTCGGTTGCTGGAACTGTGGCCAGAAGGGCCATCACTCATCCAAATGTCCCAATCCCTCCATCAAGAAGAAATCAGGAACTCAATCGTCATCAACGGAGGCTCGCGCTGGAGCGGTCTCATTTGCGACTCTTGGCAACTACTCAGAAGGTGAAGAGGACGACGATGACGGATGCGACGTTGTTTGGGGCTAAGAAGGATGAACTCTAGACAAAACTTATATTCGTGACAAACACAACTCCGGTGCAAGTCGATGGCCAATTCTACGAAGGCGTTTGATTTTTGGATATTTATTCACTGTCGTGGTGTTTCCCTGTCCCTTACTACCTCTGGATCTCTGGCCTGATTCTAATTTCATTTTCTGTTCCCAGTTGAGAATTTTTTTTACTTCACTAATCATGCTTACTATTAGTGGTAGAATTTTTTTTATCTCATTTATCCTAGTATAACTATAGTTTTCAGCAAGGGGGTGTGTTGGGATAAACAGTATGCTTATATGCTTCTACTATAGTTATTCATTATGCTTTGTATTTAGTTTGTCTGATCCCCGATCCAGGAGCTCTCTCCTGATTGAATACAAACCATCTTGTCTCTTAGTGTCAGGTCCCTAGCCACAAGACATTGTCTGTGACATTCAGTCCCTGCGACCCTGTGCCCCTCAACAGTAAATTCATCAATTACCATACCAGATAAAATAAGTACAAATCCTTTCTTTAATTTATCAAACACGCAATCCAGTAATATTAATTTCAGTGACCCTAAAATTAACACCCCAGTTAGATCAATTAACACTGAAGTACACCATTCACACGTAACTGATGACCAGGATAAAACAATTCAGAAATTAATTTTATCAGGAATGCCAAAAGTTAATGAATGGAGTACCTTTTCAGGGAAGGGAGAGTATGATCACTATAAATTCATAGAATGGATTGATAATCTTAAAGAAGATACCCAAGCACCAGATCCACTTATATGTTCTAAATTGAATTCAATTTTGACTGGAGCAGCTAACACATGGTATAATCAGAGGAAGAAAGAAACTCATGGAGTCAAAGATTGGAATTTCTGGAAGAAAGAAATTATAGCTAAATACAGCACACCTGAATGGAAAAGAAAGGTTAGAGAAAATTTCAGAAAGAACAGATTTGAAATCAAAGGAGATATTGAACCATCTGAATGGGTTACTACTCAAGTTAACAGATTGAGAGCAATTGAAAGAAACATTGATAATGCTGCTATAAATGATAAATTATTGGCCCAATTGGACGACAAAACTGCTTACAAAATGAGAATTGCCTTAGATGATGAAGATGACTTAACTAAATTTATCAATGAACTAGAAAGTATAGCTAATATTAAAAGGAAGAAATACAAAAGAGATAATAAAAGTGCTACTAAGGATTACTCCAGAGATTTCAAGAAAATTAATAAAGACTACACTAGTAGAGACAAAGATAAAGAGAAGGAAAAAGAAGTCACCTGTTATGAATGCGGCAAAAAAGGACATAAATCTACTAAATGCCCTAAACTTAGTAAGAATAAAAAAGATGTCATGATGGTTAAAGCTCATGAAGATAACCAACAACCCTTTTCAGACTCTGAAGACAATGATAACAAATCTGAGAGCAGTGATTCTGAAACATCTTCTGAAGAAAATAGATAGGTTGTTGCTAAACACAAACAGGAGGTGCTGTTGCATCAGAGACAACGTTTCCAGACCCGATTCCCAAAAGAAACAATGATGATGGCCTAGCGGAGACGAGGAACCAACGATAGGACCAGAAACAGGCCTATGGCAAATGATGACCTAGGGAAAGTGATCCAAACGTTGTCCTTCTTGTCAAATGACTTCCGCAAGAGTTTGTCAACAAAATGTATGTGTTCTGTGCTGATCCGAAAGGTTTAACCAGAATCTATTCTCTTTTTTTTTAAAGAAAAAAAAAAGATGAATCCTCCTAGTGAAGAGGGTTCCGTCCGCACAGGGCTTTCCAGGTGTACGGGTATGAGGGGTGGTTGCCAATTGTCAGTGGTGGGTTACTCCGAGGTGATGAGATCCGCTTGATGGAAGTTTACTGGATTTGTCCAGTGGCTCCAAGTCGCAGAAAGATCTAATCCGGTCCACGGTGTTCACGCCCAAGCCGTTGATAAGTTTTTGAGAAGTTCAGGCTGAGAGTTCTGGACAGTGATGTGGTGATGTGAAGGGAACAGGCAAGTTTGAAGTAGTGATTTGTTGATGTATCTGCAAACTCAAGAGGAATGATTTGGAATAAAAGGTTGTTATTATTTTTGTCTTCTGAAAGTCTGGGGAACAATAGACTTCAGTCCGTACAACTTTATATATCCAGCTTGGCAAGGACAACTAGATACAAGCATATGTAGAGTATGTTAATAATGAAATGAGTGAAATGAATAAGAACATGAGTGAAATGAGTGTGAAATGTATGAAAAGTGCAGTTGGTGTAGCAAAACTGTAAGTTGGCATGCTAAGGGGTAACTTGGTTTTGCTTGCCAGCTGACACTAATAGGTGAAAAGCCGTCATTTTTATAGGTCCCCAGAAATAATGATAACCTTTGAAACATGTGATCAAAACCAAAGCCAACTCCGGATTTCAGACTCCAGCTCCCAAGATAAACACAAACCTAGCCATGACACAGTCTCTCCCTGCCATGGAGTGCCTGCAACAAGACAACATTTTCTCCTGAAGTCCTGCGCAAACGGCATCCATCCTCCCCCTCCTCTCCAAACTAACTTAACTAAGTCCCCCCCTGGTGGGAGGTTCACTGGTGTGAAGCACTGCCTGGTGGCAAAAGCCACCCCTCCCGCAGGGAGGGACTTATGACTAAAGTGGGGGTACTTGCCTGAGAGGATCTGGAAACCTTGTCAAGTTACCAACCTTTAGCTCTCTCACTTTTTGAGCTACACATGTGTTTCTTCTGGGGAAGTTCTTCTTTAGAACCTTACCTTTGCTTCTACCAACTCAGTTTAGCAAGAAATGTTTTCAAACAATAAAGCAAAGAAGAAAGATGACTCACAAATTTCTCATGCTCAAGCCTGCAGGCTCAAGCGCAGAAGGATGGATAATTTCTTGACTCCGTTTGAAATCCACTTAGAGCCTCCGCATTGGTGTGCGGATTAGGAAGGATTAGCTGCCTAATCTAATCCTCCCAACCATACCGGTTGGGATTAGAGATTGTATTAGGTTAGCTCCAGGGTCAGTTTTGGAGCTAACGGTGTGGTAAATAATACTGTGTTTCTACACAGAAAATATAAAAATTTCTCATTATCTCTTTATTCATTCAAGATATGATAAAAATAACATCAAAAATGGAATCCTCAGGTAAAATAACCCATAGTCACCCACTACAACCATACCCTTATCTCTTATAGTTTAGAAGTTACACAGATTTCAACCTGTCACAGGATATTTCAATGGATTCTTCATTCTAGCCATAGTCATTATGAGTACAGGATGCATATTGCATACTGAGTACCTTTGTAGTAAATTGAATACCTTTACGTTGTTTTGAATCCCTTTGTATTAGTGATATTGCATGTATGCATCCCTTTGATCATACATATGTGTCCCTTTATTCATTCATATGCATCCCTTTGTAGTAGTATCTTTCAGCCTGTACCCTGGGGCCAAAATCCCTCACATTTGTCTATATAAGGAGGCCTCTGCCTGCCAGTTGTTCCCTCCATCATCCCACCAGTGGACCAGATCATCTTAACCACCCTTATCAAGAAATCCATCTTATATATTATTTCAGAACTACAAGTCATAGCCACATTACAATTTCAGAATTATATACATTGAAATACAGATTTAAAACTTTCATCATCATCATAAACCAAAAGTGCCCTGAACCATATCCATCAACAACAACTTCATCAATATAACCAACAGTCAACAACATCTTTATACCCTCACACACATCAATCGGCAGCTTCATCTCGAACTTATTCCTATCACTATATATAAAATTGCCAAGCTAAGCTTGGTGGTCTTGTTATTCTGATAGTATAGAAGGGCAGAGCTTGCAACTCCAACATACCCTTCTCCATTCAGCAAAAGGGTTTTCATAACCACTTTTGAGTCTTACAACGGCAATGCTGTAACAGATACAATACACTGTGTGTAATTGTATCATGGAGAATTCTGCAAAGCAGCATGGCCAAAAGCCAAATTTGTTCAATCTCCTTGCAAATAAAAGCAGATTGGTCAGATAGTTTTTTTTATTGGGGCTCAGATACATAGTGATACATGGCAGATACCGTATCTGTTTCAGTGTTGCTAACGGGTATTAAATTTATACCCTGCTAATCCTCGGATTAATGAGGTCGCTAATCCTCACTAATCCACTCAACCAATAGCCTGGTTCACATTTGACACTTCTGTCTGCTAACTTGTAATAAAATATCTGCTTGCTGAAATTAAAATATGTATAAAATTTTACACTCTTCAACAACGTACCTGTTGCTGAAAATCTGAAATTTTAATATTAATTCAGCAACACACTTACCAACTACATAAACCTCCCAGATCCCCGATTGGGTTACTCCACCAGTCACCATTCCTCCCTGAAACACAGAATCATAGATCAATCACCCACAGAATTACATTGAAGGAAATGATTGCTCTTACCAATGATAGCTGGAGAGAGGTGGATGTGTGCACACCACCCTGTTGACTGCTTCTTTACCTACTCGGAATAACCCAACCCAGTTGCTGGCAGAGCAATCATCTGGCATGGAATCCGGGCTCTCTCCAAGATACCCAATTGCCAGGAAATCTTCATCATCAGATGCTACAACACCTAGGTATTGGCCCTGTTCATCAAACAGATCTATGTCCTGCACTCACTACAACATAGCCTCCTCGTTCCCCTTCCTCAAACTCAATCGCTTCCTTTTCTCTTCTTTGCTTGTGTCTAGTCTTCTCACTTCATTGTACTGCACTCCTTTTTTGTGTGTTTCTGTTGGTGTCTTTCTTTGGTAGAACGATGATATGACCGATCAAGGTAGAATGAGTTGAAAAACAAGACATTGAGGTCAATCAAGTGAAAATTAGATAATGGAGGAAAACAAGAGATTGAGGCTGATTAGAAGAGGTGAGCAAGAGGTCAAGGCTGATTAGAGGAGGCAAACAAGAGATCAAGGCTGATGAGAGGAGGAAAGCAAGAGATAGCGGCCGATCAAGGGAGAATGAGGTGAAAAACAAGAAACCGGGGAGAGTGTAACAAGAATTCCCAAGCTTTCAGAGCATTTCCATGGGTGGTTCATTTGATCAAGACTGCTGAAACTGACTGAAACTAGCAGGCGCAGCAGGATAAATCTTATGCTGTGCAGTCCAGTTGGTCTGCTAAGTTCAGATAAAAAATTTGCTGAAAAATTTGAATTGTGAACCGTTCTAATGCAGATGCTCTTATAATAGGGGGTATCAAATATATGTGAATGATTAAACTAAAGTTTTTATTTCTGATAAGTAACAAGAATGTGACAAAAAGAAATAAATGAAATAAAAGAAATAAAAGAAAGAAATATACCCAAAGGCAATGACAACACAAGTGGCAGGACAATGACACGATAGAAGGCAAAGAAACAGGAAAGGCAAGAGAAAGCAGAAACTAATATAAGATAGATTAGTTTCTTGTTGTCGAGACAATAGAGAACCAATCAATCAGACGAAAACATACTAAATGAAGAACGTCTTGTGATGAGTAGTCGAGAATCGGCGAGCAGTCGGAAAGAAGTGATGAGCGAACTAAAGCGCGAGTAGATTTGTTGATGATAAAAGTCTTGAGTGATGAGCAAACAAAAGCGCTTAGGAGTTTTGTCTTCAATAAGAGTTTTAATGAGACACGGAGGAACGAATCAGCAATGAAGATTGTGTAAGAAAGGCTGATGGATGAAGATGAGTCAAAGGAGTTCCCCGAGGGAAAGAAGGATCAAATGAAAGTAGAGAAGAACCAAGTTGTTATATTCGAGAGTCGTGATTGGAGGAGGATCGAGCAATTGCTGAAGCAAGGATCGAGCGGAGTACTTGCAGAGAATAAAGAGAGTCTGATCAATTATCTGAGAGCCAGGGAACAATGATGATGTCATAGCTAGTTGGCCCACTAGAGTCATGGAGGGATGTCACTTAGATGTCAACAATATAAGAAATCCACCATTAGAAACCAATCACTTTTCCCAAAACTTTTTTTTGCATCAATGGGCCCCAAAAGGGGTTAAATAAAGAACCAGAATGTTTAAAAAAGGGTTGGTTTTTTCAAAACCTGTCAATTGAATAATGGTGGATTTGGTTATATTTGATACCCCCTAATAAACATGTTGTTATTTCAACAAGCTGACAAGTTCTAAAAATTGACACAATACATAAGAGTCAACTGGTGCTAGCTGAGACAAACAGCTTGTAAACTACAGGCTGGAAAATTCAAAGAGTCAATTATTTCCAGCCTGTTTTGGTGAGTGGGCTCAGGCAAGCACCCCCGCATAGTTTGTAAGTCCCTCCCTGAAACTTAAGCTCCACCCAAATCCAACCTCCCGCACAGGGAAGACTTTGTTAAGTTAGCTCTCCAAACCAGTTGAGGGATGAGCAAGACTGTCGAGACTGACAAGATTTGTTTGATGATCATTGTGTTAGTGTAGTGCCGGAAAATCAAAGAAGTTACAAGATGACAAAGTTGTTAGAACATAAACTATGTACTTACATAGAGCTTAACCTAGTTAGTGATAGTCCCAACCCTAACCTAGATCATGCTTTGTACAGTGCCCTCCCAGATGTATATAGCCAACTTGTTTGGATTACACAACCCTAACCCACCAACTTGCAATCATGAGACTTGGGCAAGTGGTATAAAAGAGGTTTCAAAAAATGATTTTGAAAACAAAAGTATGAAAAACCAATTTTCAAAATTTGCAAAAAATATTACAATTATTGCACTTTTTTCAAAAGTCTCAATATTGCTCCAAATGAAAAAATAAAAATTGGAACTTGGAGTATGGTATGCAGGAGAAATGATAATGAATGAGTCAGTCCCGGTTCCGGCCTCCTCTCTCTTTCCTCACCAAGATTGGAGACCGGAATCTGCACACACCAATAGCTAACTGCGACGGGACTGTACCAACCAGCTCCCATTTGCCTCCGTACATCTTATACATTGCAGGGTATGCCTTGTCTTTGTAGTGAATTTACGTCTATGTACAGCTATTTTGGAAAGGGTTGTCCACTTGGACTCGCGGATTCTTATTTATTTTTTTACTAGTATATGCCCCCAAATTTGGGGAGGCTGCTTGTTTTTACCCCGGATGTTGGGGGTTTTACTCGATGACCTCTGGGGTTTTCTTGAGTTGGACACCTGTCTGCCTTGGTCTAACGCCGGTGTCAACAAAACCAACAAATGTGAATTGGAGGTCAACGCCGGCGTTAGATTGCATGACAGTTTGTTTGGCTCTCTAAGCCTATTTTTTTACTTATATGTAGATTTTTTTTATTTTTCATTTTTTTACTGAACTGGACCTGTCAGAACTGAACTACTGATGACAGCTGTACCTCCTTGGGTGTAGTTCAGTACAAAGAAAAATTTAAAAATTTTCAAAAAAAAAAAATGTGAGACAACTGGACAACCCTTTCCGAAATAGCTGTATGTGCTTGGCTGTCATCATGTCAGGTGGCAAACGGGTCGGGTTCGGGTCAAAAAACAGTGCCCAAACCCGACCCTATAAGCAATGTGGGTCGGGGCGGGTCGGGTTGCATTGTAAAAAATGCTGCCCAAACCCGACTCTGTTAAAGCTAAATCAGGTCCAGGTTGCACTGGGTCAGGGCTCAGGTTGACCCGGCAAAGTGTCTTTCTCTACATGACAATCAGACATCGATGGGATTTGAACACAGGAGGGACATGATACATGTGGCAGGCACCAAACTGGCCCCTTGACAACTAGCCTGATCACAAATCGGGAGGTATGGGGTCAGCACTGAGGACGATAGTTGTCTCTGATCCGGACTCTGCCCTGCGTCCTAACCCTTGGCCCCCTACTACCTATTGGGGGTTTTCGGGTCTACCCGAGGCTGACCCGAAGTCTGCAGCACCTGCCCGAACCCGACTTGAGAACAAGCCGGGTCGGTCCGGGTCAGGCCAACATTTCCCAAACTCCTGCCCGAACCCGCCTCATAACCCCTCGGGTCTCGGGTTGACCCGGCCCCACTTGCCACCTGTGACAGTTCAAAGGAAGCTCCGCTGAGGGGGGTACTATTATGGGGTACTGGGGAGTGGCAGTGCAGTCCGAGTGGGACGTATAAGTGCATATAAAATATTGTGTGGAGTCGTTTCCACTGTTCTCCTTGATTAATTTGCCCATCCCCCTTCTTCTTCTTCTTCTTCTTGAGCTTGGCCTCCCAGCTTCCAGCAATTATAATTAAACCTCAACAGAATTTTTAAACCGACAGCTCTCCACCCGGGCACCCTTCCAACCGACAACCCCCGGCCTCCATCAAGACCGTACATACACCCACGAGAGCGTACCAACCGACACACTGCTCCCATCAAGAGATTCATTCATCAACCTTAACTTGTCTGGCCATCGTCGTCCCGGGTTACTGCAACCTGACCACCAGTTCGAGCAACACTCTCTCGGCTTCTTGAGAGTTCTTCAACTCACCTTCCTTCCTTCCCTCCCTCCCAATTCCACCCACCCGAGATCCACTCCAGATTCCTCCTTTGAGCACTTGCCCACTCGCCTCCATCACTCTACATCACTGGAATATCCTCCTTGGTTTTTTTTTTTCATCGCCTCCTCATCGACATGGGTTATAAGAAGATCCACATCATCAGACACGCCGAAGCCGAGCATAAGTTGGGTGCCTTCCAATCTGTCCTGTTTCTCTCTTTTCACGCGCGTCATTTTAACCCTTTTGAGACACTTAATAGACCACTAATTTGTCCTCACGATCTTATCAAGTGTTGAGCAAGACTATTACAGTTTCCCGGATGCAGTGCTCACGCCATATGGAAAACAGCAATGCTCGATCCTCGACAAGTCGACCGAGAAGACGATCCAACAGTCTGCCCAACTACTAGTGACCTCGCCACTGAGACGGACGTTGCAGACCAGTCTGAGCGGGCTGCCGAGTCTGATCAGTCGGCTCGGCGGGCCCAGCTCGATCATCGCCCTGCCCGAGCTACAGGAGAACTCCTCCTCGCCTGCCGACACGGGCAGCTCCAGGGAGACCCTCGAGCGGATCGAAGAGTTCGACGGGATCGACTTTGGAAGACTGGCCAAACACTGGAACTCAAAGACCGGCTTCTGGTCCCCCGACCCCAAGTCCCTCAAATCGAGGGCCGCTTGGACTCGCAAGTGGCTCGCCGAACGCCCCGAGGATGAGATCGTCGTCGTCTCGCATGGCTCGGCTCTCAGATTCCTCACCGAAGAATATGGCTCTCATGGCGTAGGTCTCCACAAAACTCTCTCTCTCTCTCTCTCCCTCTCAAAAACTTCAACCGGTTCCTAAATTCATCCTCATCCTTTAGCTGTGGAACAATTGCGAATGTAGAACCTACGCCTTATTGCCTCCCTCCTCTGGGAAAAACTACAAACTCGTCCGGCTGCCCTCTTTCCCGCAAGAACAAAAACCCATCATCCCACAATCGAGCTTAATCACCACCTGCGACTCGATCGAAAACCACTAGGATCTAATCTCTCTCCCCCTCCTACCCTGTACATGAACATGCATATTCCCTCCTTTTTCGTTTCTTATAACAAATCTTTCTCATCGGTTACCGGGCTCGGGACTTCAGACGGTCTCTTTTTCAACCTATTCTTTTGTTTGGTCTGCGCCTACTTACACCTTTTTTGTATTTTTGTTAAGGCTCAGAACCAACACCGTCTTCCTTACCTCTTTTTCCCAAAGTGTACTTACTCCATTATATTTGTTGATATAAAAAAGAGACCCCCCTTGGAAGAATGATGCTCGCGCTGCTTCCTGCCCCTTGCTGATCGTCCTAGTTTTTTTGTAGTAGTTTAGTCCGCCTTGTTTCCCTTGAAGTATTGTTGTTGTTTAGGCTCTCTTTGACTCGTTTTCTCCGATCATTCCCAATGCAATCCAACTTGCTTAATTCATAAGGCTTGCCAACAGAATGTGTGGTCAGTGGAGGTGAGAAACAGGGGAAAATTCTTCGCTCTCAGGACTTCGCTGGGCTCAGATTCATGTGTCCTGGTGCACACCAAAGATTTTACCTGCGCACACCAAAAAGGTGGAGTGCACACCAAAACGGGCAAAACTTGATGAGTTTGGAGTACATGCTTATGCACTCCAAAGAATCTGGAGTGCACAGATTTGCACGCCTGTAAAATCCACTTCAGTGTTTTTACTGGCCAGGTATTTCTAGTAGTCCAAATCCTGCTCACTCCAAATAATTATCTGTATTGCACAGAGCTTCACGCCCAAAATTTGGAGTGTTTGCTGGGACCTCTAGGCTGATATCACACAAGAAGGGCCTGACTATCTAGACAGGTCATTGTGGATTCCAAAAAAAGTAAATAATTTTTTTTTCTCTATATTCTGTCTGTTGACCAGGCCCTGATCATATGGCTTTCCAAAGTTACAAAATAAGATCTTTTCATGTTGAGTGCCATGAAATTGAATTGTGTGTGGTATCAGCCTGGAGTGGGGGACCAAGGAAACACTCCAACTTTGTGGAGTGAAGCTCTGTCAATGCACTCCAAATAATTTGGATCGAGCAGGATTTGCACTCCCAGAAATACCTAGGAAGTGAAAACACTGAAGTGCATGGGTATGCAATATGCACTCCAAGATTCAAAGGAGTGCAAATCTGTGCACTCCAGATTCTTTGGACTAGTGCATAAGCATGTACTCCAAAATCATCAAGTTTTGCCCGTTTTGGTGTGCACTCCAAGAAAATAAGAAAATCTGGAGTGCACTACTGTCCAATCCAAGGATTCTTGGAGTGCACATCTTTTTTGATGTGTGTGTGTGTGGGGGAAATCTTTGGTGTGCAAAAAGGCAGACCCTTATTAATCAGACACAACTCTGTAATGGTTGAGCTTGAAGCAAACATGTAGCCTAGCTTGGAACCAAGGAATACATCAATTTGGGACCAAGGCTCATCTCCTGATCTCTTGGCAAAGGTCTGCCGAAATCCACATGTAAACATATTTGTATATTGTGAATGTAGTTATTTTTCATGAAATACTAGGGTCCAGCTGCATTGAAAGCAGTGTACATAAGTACAACACCAGTTCAGTTGGTCATCATTCCCAGCTATGATCCACCACTGCACTGCTTTCCTTCTCATCAGACATACATATCCCTCCTTGCACAACAGTGGGCTACATTCCAGCCTCATGGTTGGTCTCTTAGGCCAAAACTCCCTCAAAACATCAACCAGGGCCATGGACATATGTTCAATGTCTAGTCTGACCATCACCAATTGATGATTTGATTTCTTTGATAATGGGAAATGATTGGGTCTATGAATGGATGCACATTATCAAACCGATCAATTCCTAAAAATTGAATTCAAATCTTCAATATTTTATGTTGAGTTTGTTATAAGTTATAGCCAATTCACATGTCAAATCCTATCAAAATCCAAAAAAAATAACATTGACTCAATGAAGCCAATGTCCAATTAATATGAATTCAAAAGAGAAGAACCCTTCTTCATATTTCGAAATCGGTGTTTTTCAGTTGTTAAAATATTAGATCAAATCTGACTATTGAAAAAGAAGGCATATCAAATCTTGTAAGGAAGAAAAAACTACATTAGATTGCGAGGGTCATCAGGTAGCATATTAAATCTATACAGCTTGTGCTTCTCAATGAGAGAAAACTGGCCATTTATACTATCAAAGATCTCTTGAATTACCTCATGGTAATTCTCAAGCCCTTGAAGATACCTTTTCATCTTGTTGGCCCTTTTGGTCTTTTCAGACATAAGTTTGTAAAGTTCATTCCAATTATTGAACATGTATTGAACTGAATGGTTCCATTCATCAATCATTCCCTTTTTCAAGTACCTCAAGGGAGTATCTTTTAATCTTGGGTCATCCTTCTGGAGAGGATTCACCATTAAGATGAAGTTCTTTTGATTGATAAGTTTTTCTATCTCTGCTTCTGTTTCAGGAAGCTTCAGTGTATCATCATTGACTGTATATATATGACAGAAATTTGTAACTCTAACTTGTCAGATCTCCATTTTTCCTTTTTCTTTTTCAAAACCAAAAAACAAATTCCACTCACCCCATGGTATCCCCAAGTTCTTTGAATTTGGATTTTCCACATGTCCAAGAAACATTTCCAGAACTTTGTCCCTCAATTCCTTTGGTTTTGCCAATTTTTCATCTGGGATTTGCCGTAAATTCTTCATCTCCTTTAGTGTATCCAGTGTTGAAGTCATAGCAGGCAATTCCCTTGAGAAGTAATCATCCCACAATTTTGAAGCCCAATATGCATCAGAGGTGTAATCTACTGCTGCATTCTTAATTGAGTTGGGTTCCAATTCTTTGAAAGCCAGTGCATATTCTCCTTTCTTCAAATGATTCTCTATGTCTTGTTTGTGCTTTGAAATCACCCTTTCTTGGTAATATGATAATGTCTGAGATTTGAATGTTTCATCTTTCCATATGTGTGGAAGTAGTTCATGGGTATGAGAGCGCAGTCGCTCTTCAAATAGTCTTGGAAGATCTTGAAGTGTCTCTACTTTATTCCTGAAAGATCTAATTGGATATCTTGAAGATGGATTCTTTAGGTTATCTGGATGGTAAAAGTAATTGCGCTCTTCTTTTGTAAGTAGTCCCACATTTCTTAACTTCTCTAAGAATTCATTGATTGAGGAATGGATCAAGGAGGGCTTTGACTGTGGAATGGATTCAACCTGCAATTCCTTGTACAACTTGATTGGAAATCCCAGCTCTTGCTGTAGACTATCCAGTAAGGTGAGAGGTTCTTTGTCTGATTTAGTGACCTTTGCATCTAATTCTCTATATTGCCTTTCGTTAACCAAATTGTTCTCTTTCAATCGAACCAAAAAATGTTTTATCGAGTCTTTGAAGCTTGCATATTGGCCATTTCTTCCAAAGTGCTCTTCTTCCAACTTCTCCAAAAGAGCAATCCCGTGTTGTGTCTTGATGTATTCGAGTAATCTAGAGTATTCTGATTTTGATCTGGATGCCGCGTCTACCAGGTCGTTGTATTCACCCCGGGGGAGCCTATCTTTGAATTGCCTTCGAAAACCTTCGAAATCTACATTCCACTCTCTTGCCAGGTCATTCATCACATCGTACATTTCCTGCGCAGATTTGTCAACATCAAAATATTTTATGAATAACTGAACTTGGAAGTCTTTATTTTCCATGTGAATGAGCTCGTCAACTTTGGATTTGTAAGCAGCCGCCATGATTTCCTTATTGTTAGTAACACGCTCCGAAATGAGTCTTAGTTCGGCAGGCACGAGGTCTTCTATATCTCGAAAGAACTGTTTGGCTATCTGGGTTATCTGGAAGCGCAGCTTGTATTCCAATATCTTTTCAGGATTGATTGTGATCCTCCTAGCGATCCCAGTGGGAGTCTTCTTCAACAATTGTAAATCGGTCTTGTGACTGGACCACGACCGCGCATCTTTAGTCAACTGCGCCAAGATAAACTGAAATTCTTCATCCGACGTATGAGGGGCCGAGGTTAATTGTTTAACCAAGTATTTTTTTAATTGCCACTTCTTATTAATCTGAATAATCCTTGGTTTTTTATCCAACATCTTTGCATATATTCTTTCGACATGAACCGACCCTAGTTCATTGACAAATTCCTTTGCTATTTTTTTAGCTTGGGTGTTTATGCTTCTGGAGTTCCAATTACTGAAATGATTTTGAAGTTTTGATAGCACGGCGTTACTTGTCTCCTCCTCAACGTATGAATGCAAAGCATTGTGCAGAGCCTTATCTAGGTCACTTTGGAACGTTGTCCATTGCTTCGTAATAAGCTTGATCTGCCTTTCAGTTTCAAATCTGGATTTGGATGCTTCGAGTATCGGCTTCAATTTTTGTTGGACTTGATCGATTTCCTTTAAAAGGGTGGGATCTTCTTGCTTTTCAGGAGGAAGTTTTGCAACCCACTCCTTGCGAAATTGTTTAATCAAAAAATCCGTGTCAGGAACTATTCTGAACACTGCGTCTTCCCTTATAGTTTTTTCCGAGCGCTCAACAGCTGAATCCACAGATTTGGCTGAAAAACAATGAAGAACGTCCGAAGACAAAGGAAAAGTCAGGATGTGATAATCTCTTGGAATCATTTACTTTCCAAACCCTATCAGAGTTAATTTCGACTACAAACCTGCGTCTTTGGCTAATTTCTTTAGAAATTCCGCATCTTTCAATGACCTGAATTTTGCGGGATTCTGGTAAACTTCCTCGTATTGAGGCTTGACATGTTGGTTTACTTCCGATTCCCAGCTGGAGGAATAACTACTTTCCAACAAAGGGGACTGCTGGATCCAAAAATTAGTATGAAAATAGTTTCAATCGGAGACTACTAAGTAGTTTTCCGGAAAAACATGACACAGCGTACCGATTTTCGATAGGGGACCCTGAGAGACAAAGGTTTGAAGAGTGGATTAGGATGCCATAGAGTAGCGATGTGTAAGATGTGACTCACAAGCTTTTGGGCATCGGATCACCCGACGCACATTCACCGACTGGTGACTGTTTACGCAGCGTATAAGTACCAAGTCGTCCTGGATTGAAATTTGGCGTTGTTGCCGGGCTTTCCCTCAATCCAAGAGGTATCTCCATTTTCATTCCAGCAAACTTGGGGGTAATGGGTGGGCAAAATAGAAGACAAAGTACCATCACCGGTGTAGAAGTGGAAAGATACATAGTTTGTTGGAACCAAAGCGCAGGACTTTGGATAAGGAGGAAATACAGAGTTCTTGTCAATAGCATGCTGCTTGCAGTTCTTGAAATCCTTGGCACAACTACGTTGTATAAATAAGGCCACTCGAGTTCTTCAGTGGAAATATTTACTTCAAGAGTTGATGGCGCTCGATTAGTAGTGATAAGTTCGTAAAATTCTCGCAAAGTTTATGTTGTTCAATTGGCTCAGAAAGAAGAAGTCTAGTGAGTGTATGTTATAATAATCAGCCATCGAGTCAATAATCTCTGGGCAGATTCACTTTACAGCAAGCAGCGTTAGGCAGTACACAGGTCTTGTCGCGACATCTCCAGTTTCTCGAGTCGACCTCCCATAAACAAGACCAGATGTAACCATGAGCACCTGAAGTTGTGTCGCAGCCAAGATTGTTCAGTTGGATCGGCGAGAACAAGCGACTCGGCCACACATGCCGGTACTGAATGCATGGACCAGGCCGAACTGGTATGGCCGATGCCACCTTTCTTCGACAAACTGTACCTGCCCAAGCCAATAGATGGTCTTCCAAGGAGAACTTGAATTCACGATGTCACTGCTCCTAAGTAGATAATTTTTTCTTGGCTGATTTGGAAGCAAACAAGGGTCTAAACTCGAAAAAAAGGGTTGGGACTGAGTGAACAATAGCAGGATTTTCAGTTTTGAGAAGCTGAGTGACCATTAGGCACAAAGTTATAGACAATTGCCTCCTTTCATTCACTTTCCTCTTACTCCTGTGAACATTCTTTGTTGCAAGAATGGTCAGAAAACATACGTTTTTAATCATGTACAGAAAAAAAAAACATAACAAAAACATAAAAGGACATAAAAATGAATGTAAGTGTAAGAACATTTGATCTTGGGTACAACGTCAGTGATATTAATGATAGAAAATTTGAAGCAAATGTGGCATCAAGGAACAACAATTGCTTTTTTAACACAGGGGAAAACTCGGTTTTTGAGAAGAGATGCCCGCTATTGCCTGGGCTCTGAAAATGAACTGGACCCAGAAAATGAGCCGGAATCTGAAAATGAGTTTTGAACACGAAGATCGGAAGCTTTAGGGGTAAGTTTATATACGGCTCTGCCTCTGGAGTCGCTTGTGCTAAATTTCGCGTTAACCTGTCGCATTACTTTCCCCACTACTTGATTGTACTGGTCAAGCGATGTTAAGCTTTTTTCCAAGGTGTAGGCGAGAGAATCCTTCTTATAAATCTTTTGCACAGCGGCATCCGTTTTCACTAACACAAATCTAGCCTGAGTATTCCATTGCTCAGCGATTTCCTTCTTCAAATATCTAAACGGTGTATCCTTCAATCGCTCGTCCGCCAACGTCAATGACTGCGGTGACCTGTTTTCTTTCACAGGCTTGAGCGGATTAGCCCACAATGCATAGTGTCGTTCGTCCGGGAGTTTCTTCTCCCTTTCAGTAACCTTGTTGATTTTCTTCGGGTCTTTAGCAACTTCTAAATCGCTTGTTCCTGGTGCACCTGGTGCTAATTCGCTTGTTGCAGGAGTCAATTCGCCTTTTCCTGCTGTCGATCCACTTTGGCCTCCTTCGGGTGCCTTACTGCCTCCTGCTGCTTCACTTACACTTCGAAGCGGTTTATACGTGCGAGGTTTCGTAAGGTCTGCTTGGTCGCTTCCTGCAATTTTAGGCCTGTCCTTTGCCAGATGATCTAAGGCACGTTCTATCAACTGGCTCGGATTTGCTATTTTCCGTTTCCCAGGGCCACCAATTTGATCCTGCTCTTTGTCAATCGGGAACGTTTTGTAAGTACGGTAATTCCTTGCAAAATAATCATTCCAAAGGTCCTTGGCAAAAACCTCTTTCAATTCGCTGACGTAGTTGTCGACGTATTTGGGTTGGAAAGCTTTCAAACTTGCAAAGGCTTCATTATATTCTAGTTTTCCAAGATGCCTCTCGATGTCAGAGCTATGAGAAGAAATCAGGGTTTCCGTACTTTTTGTTAATGTCTCAGATTGAAATCTTCCGTCTCTGGGGATGGTATCAAACTTAGCTGCAAGAGATTGTATCAGTTTGTCTCGGAAAGCTTCGGGCAGCTTATCTAGTTCATTCAATTTAGTTGAGAAATCTTGAATCAATCGAAGTGGTGGTAAGCCCTTAGGCGCATCGAGAGGGTACAAGTAATTGCGTTCTTCTGTTGTGAGTAGCCCTTTGGTTGTCAATTTATCCAAGTAATTAGTGATTGAGGTTGTGACTGGAGAGAGGTCTGCTTGTGGGACCAAGCCAGCCTCTAGTTTATCAAATAACCCGATTTCCATTCTTTGTGTTAGCCTCAAGCGCACAAGATCAGGGCGAGCTATTCCAAATAATAGCTGGTCAGAAAATTCATCTGAGATTATCCCCCTGGCGCGTAGTTTCACTACAAAGGCATGTACCGCGTCTTGATAAGTTGCATGATGTCCTAACTCGAATATCTCGTGCTCAGTATGCTGAAATTTATCAATTTGCCGGCTTTCCTTGATAGACTCGAGTACTTCTTCGTAAAACACCCTCGAACGGGTTGCAGCTTCGAACAGCTCTTTGTATTCTTCAGGGGGTAGTTGGCTCTTGAAGGTTCTTTCAAAAGCACCAAGATCTACATTCCACATGTTGCTCAAACTTTTCATTTCGTAATAAATGCCGTGAGAGGATGATTGGATGCCGAAATTTCGCTGGAAGAACTCCGTTTCAACCTTTGCAGATGTGCGGTACATTATTTCTCTCAATTTTTCTGAGTAGGCCTTCCGCATCAATGCATTGTTACTAGTGATACGCCCAAATTCACTGTTTAGCTTGACTTTTGCGCTCTGTGTTGCAGTTTCTTCGAGCGGCCTCGTCATCGCAAATTGGAATTTGAGATGCATAATTTCGTCAGGTGTAACTTGAATACTTGTAGCAATTGTCTCAGGAGTCAAATCCATCAACTCTAGGTCAGGTTTGCGATCCAAAGCGGCGAAATTGCGGCTTGAAATCCTTTCAAAGATAAATCGAAATTCCTCATCTGAGAATTGGGGGGCTTCACAGAATTTTGTCACCAGGTATTTTCTGTAGTCTTTTGTTCGAGGATCCAAGGTTTTCAAGCCATAAGAAACTTTTACACGTGTTGGAAAGGCCACTCGATATAGTCGTTGTAGTTCCTTGTAATCGATATTCTTGATTAGATTGTCTGCTACGGATTTAGCGACCGGTTCGACCGTTGTTGGATTCCAGGTGTTGAACCTATCGACAAGCCGGGACATTACCACCTTATCTGTCTCTTCCTTCATGAATACTCGCATGGAATCGTGCAAAGCTACACCTAGCTCACTTTCAAAACTCTTCCATGGACTCAGGATTTCTTTGATCTCTCGTGCAGTTTTCACTTGTTTTTTAGAGACTATGAGAATCTGTTTCAATTTTTCGCCAACTCGATCGATTTGTTGTAATGCTTCTTGATCGTGCCGAGCCTCGGGGTGGAGTTTTTTGATCCATTCGTTTCGAAATTCTCGAACCACAAAGTCTATATCAACAGTTTGTCTTAATCTCTCCTCTCCTGATAGGTTTACCAAGATATCTCCAGCACTCTGAATCTCCTCGGCTGAATATCCCAAAATCACAAAAACAAATGCAAAGAGTGCGTAATGGGTGCTTATCTTTGAATTAGTGTGAAGTTTTTAGATATTTAGGATGATGAGAGTAGTGACCATGACATTACAGAACTGACCTGATTCGGCTAGGTCTACGGGGTTGATTGGAGTCGGTACCTTTTGGTGTGTGACATCCAGGTAAATGCGTTCGTATATAGCTGGCTCTGGCTCAAATGAGAACCTATCGGAGAATGACTGTTGCCGACAATCGAAAAAAGTCAAATCAAACACTGGTCAAAGCACATGACAGGAAAATGCCTGATCAGCTTACCTCCCACCTCTGCACCCCATCCTCCTTTTTATAGGCAGCTCTGTAAAACAAAGTTCAAATTTTCAATGTCAAACTTGGGTTCAGAATCTTTAAAAGATTGAGGACTCACAGGCTCTGCGGCATAGGATGGCTTGCGGCATTCTTTGAACTTTCGGCTTGATGGATCAAGGATTGATGGCTTAGAACATTGCTTGAGCTTTCGGCTTGATTGACTGAGGTTTGGCGACTTAGGGATTCCTTCGGAATCGGATTTCGATTGGCAATGTCTTGATGGAGTGCGGGATTCTGACCTGAAGGCTTATTGGTGAAGTCTTGATCGATGGGGGGATTCTGAGCTGAAGGCTTATTGGTGAAGTCTTGATGGATTGGGGGATTCTGGCTTGAAGGTTGATTGGCCGGGGCTGGATGGCTTGGGGGACTTTTTGGACTTTCAGGCTGAGTGGCCGAGGGTGCAGGATTATTTGGGGTCTCAGCTTTCGTAGCCAGGCCTTTTTCTTTTGCAAGGTTATCAAGTTCACCGGCTGAGATGGAAGAATCTGTTTTTTTAAACGCGAGACTACGTTGAGGTCTTTTATCGGGAAGTTGTTTACTAGGGCCACCCTCCGCCCCTTCATGATGAAGACCGATTCTATTGGAGACTTCATCGAGGTTAAAGCGCTTCCCGTCAGTGCGTTGCAAATCAGATGGACCTTCACTCAAATCTGCAATTGTCGAAGAAGAAGAGTGAGTTAAATCAGACTGTCCCTGAAGGACGCCAAGGGCATCTTCGCTAGGACTTGGGTGGGCTTTGCTGGCTCCCTTCGTCGCCCCTCGCGCAGCAACTTCAAGAATCTCCATTCGCCTTTCGAGGAGATTTGAGTTGGTATATGAAAAACATAAGGAGAATATTAGCGCCCAGCAGGAATTAGGAATGTACTTCATGAGCGAATGTTGGAAAAAATCGTTTCGAGAAGATTTGTAGGGGCAAATTGGACAACGGCTATCAAATGTGCACGGAATACATAGATTGCAAGATTCTCTTTCCCAGGAGCATATAATGAGAGGCCTCCTATTTTTAAGAGCCCGCAAGTGGGGGGAGTGTGGCTTGACTCCCGACTCACCAGGGCAACGTTCTCGTTACAGCCAAGTTTCATGATGAACTTTGGGTGGTTACGATCCGGCCAATGTCTGGTATATGTTTCTTTTCCCTAGGGTAGTCTGCGGTATCCGTATGATTGACGTGTCCATTCCGCACTGAAGGTCAGCCAGATTCGCTGAGCTCGAGCTGATGAGAGGAAGGTTTAAAGCTTTTATAGGTCCGTCGACCTGCGGGACTGATAGCCCACAGTTCGCTGAAAACTCAATTTTCGAGTGCTGGATGTATAAATTATGTTGTTTTTTATCATCTCAGTATGCATCATTATGAAACATGTCTGCACTGTACATCGCGTGTTGCGCCAAGATACCCCTGGAAGGAAACTTCAGTGCTCTTCCGATTGCGATGGTCATCTTTGAGCATCTTTGTTTGAATGCTTTCACCCAAGTTAGAGTTCACACATTTGGCAACAGACAATTTTCAACACGCCAATTTCGATCCCTCCCTCTTAGACTGATCTCATTCTCCGCACTCCTCGAGAGGCCACTGTTTGCCAAGCTGTCTGCGTATAACTTGGTAGGGGTTTGGGCAGATGATGTACCCAAATCAACCAGACATCACTTCTGAATTATGATGGGTGCAGCTGTGAGTGACACCCACTAAGAAGTTCATACGTTGGGGGTGCTCGTGGGGGCTTGCTGCTATTATTTGCCAGGAGAAGTCGGCTGACAACAAAAGCTGAATGAATTTTCCGAAGGGCTCATGGCAACAAACTACACACACACAAAAGAAACCAAAAGAAAATGCGCCTATGGTGCTAAGTGGACAGTCAAGGCGAGCAAATCAGGCGAAAACAAGGGACGAGCTGTTTTAGTCGTGTAAATTAAGTCACACGCATATAAGAGCTCGCTCTCAACAAAAACGATCCTCGAGTGATTTAAGGTCACAAGAATGATATGGATTAAGAATTGGAAGTGGAGGAAATTCGCATCACGTGATTTTCAATGCCTCGATCGTCTGTGTCAATAAGTCATAGATACCATCTTCTTTGGCCGGTTGATCTTTTTTCGAGGAGGAAGCCGTAGTGGTGGTTTCGGTCTCTTCAATCGTACTCTCCGACTCTTTCTCACTTACTTCTGGCTGCACAGTTTGATCGCCACCAGGAACAGCTGTTGGGCTAGGTTGAGTCGCATTTGACTGGTTTGTGGTGGATTCTGTTTTATCCTTGGTTACTACCCGCTCACTAGCCGAATCCTCTTCCGCGGCTGACGTTTCTTCGACCTCACTGTCGCCATCATCATCAGACGCCTGCGAGTTTTCGTCTTCATCTGCCGTGACACAAAGTTCAACAGATCCCGAGTAAGGAATGTAATCCATGAACAATACTAGGAGAGAGAAAACAGAATGCCGAACTCACCATCCGACTCCCTTTCAATTATTTCATCAAGCTCATCCAATTCAGCCCCGTTGTCCCACGCGTCCAGAGCTTCCTTCATAGCACCCCAGATACCTGATAGCTCGCCGGCGGCGTCCGCGTCTCCATAGTTATCGTTCAGCTCGACTTTCTTCAGTTTCGAACCGAATTCCTTGACGTAATCTACCAGCAATCCGACAACCTCTTCATCGATCTCACTTCCAGAAAGCTTCAGATGTTCGAGTCCAGGATTGTTGCCTAGTTTGAGAGCTCTCGCGATCATAGCACCACCCCGTGGCTTTAAAAGACAGTCACCCAGATTTAATTCACGCAAGGCACTCAGATGGGGCAGCGCGTTGGCAACAGCCTTAGATCCTTTCTCCGTAGCCGTATTGTCCCACATATCCAGGACTTGCAATTTCGAACAATGAGAAAGGCCTGCCATGATGGGGTCCCAGCCGTTATTTCGAATATCGTTTTGGAATAATCGCACTTCGATCAACTCTGGGTGAACTTGAAACGCTTGTCCCCAGGCTTGAGTCGAGCCATTCTCGCATCGATTTCGGCCACAAACAATTTTCCTCAGTCGACTAGTTTGTCCAGCTTCTTGCGCTTTCATCCCTAGTTTGTGTAATGCATTCGCAATCACCGTAGCTCCCGCGGGTCCTAGTCCATTATTCGCCAGTCGGAGTTCTTCCAGGGGAAGATGTGACGACAAGAACGGCACCATCACGTCTACGCATCGACCTCCGAAGGCGTTATCCGACAAGTCGACGATCGTCAAGTTTTGTAGATTGAGGAGTGAGTTACATAGAGAGCCCAACGATTGAGGGATTTCAGATATCAATCTCCCGGTGAAAATATCAGCCAGATCAGCCTCCTACAAAAGAAACGCCCAGATTGAAAGTGTCTTCCTTGTCAACGTCTCTGGTCAGGATGAGAACGTCAAAAATAAAATGCCAACAGACCTTCAGCTTCTTCTTATCTTTCAAGACCATTCCAATTTGTTCGCAAGCACCAACCCCAAACGTATTACCGCCAAAGACCACGACTTGAACATCTTGATCGGCGATCAATGGTTGAAGATGCGGATCGATTGAGTCGCCTGAATCGCACTTCAAACTTTGGCCCTTGAGTGAGAAGACTGAGCTTGAAGTTGTCATGATTGGGCTGCTCCGTGGCGGAGTTGATGCTGGTAAATTCGGAGTACTGCACAAGGTCAAGAGCATCTCCACCGGGGTCGGTAAGTCGGGCATCCTGCATCAAATTGGGGGGTAGATCCCGGGGATTAGTCGGGGCTGTGCTTCGAAGGTCACTGGACAACCCCCGGGCCAGCAGGGCATTGAATTTGACCCTTCATCCCGAGCTGTACCAAGCTTTTTGTGGAAAGGATGGGGCCAGGTGAAGCTTCTGTGTATTTGGTACAATGTCAGGCTCTGACACCAGATATCTTCATCCATACCAGGTCCCAATCAGATATCTACCTCTGACTCTCCTGGATCCCCTTACATTTACAAGATGAAGTCTGAAGAGATATAGAAAGCTAAGCCAAGTTGCCCAACTTCCAAAATACTTTTAATTGCAGGATTCCAATCACTTCCAGGTCTCAATTGACAAAATAGATACAATAATAAATTTGATTTGCCACAATCAAAATGTAAACAACATTCTTGGGGCCTCCACTCCATTGCACCCTGGGTAATTTGTGATACTGAAAGATAAACTGGTGAACTTGGCAATACCATGCTAATTATAGTAATCATTTTTGAACTGAAAAGTTTGGTTGCTATGTAATACATCATGTTTTAGCAGAAAGCCCCACCAAAGGTGCTTTAGCATAGTATAACACAACATACACAGCAGTGCTAACAGCCTGTTCATACTACTGTTTCAGAAGACTGGAGAATGTCCCTAGTTCCAGGCATCCATTTAGAACTTTTTGGTTTAGTGGCCTGTCTAAAGCACCTGAAACTGGTGTTCTTATTTATTACTTGACCCTAAATTAACCAACAAAAACCCCAATAGCGGGGTTCCTGATTGAAATTCCTAAATTTCTAATGCCAATTTTAAGGCTTTTATCAACAAAAAACATAAAGATGGCCAGATATGGGGGTTTCTGTCCAATCCACACAATATTTTAAACTTTTCAAAACTGTTCATAAACACTTTAAAATGGGAATTTGATAAATTTCAGTCATGAACCCTACTAATCAATCTTCTGCCTATGTTTCTTTGCAGCTCACCTTTGAGCACATTTATAATAATGAGGCACAAAAAATGAGAAAAATCTTCCATCATTTAAAATGTGCCAATTACTTTACCAGAAAGTTACAACCCAGATTGTCCATACATGATGGGGCAGGTTTTCGCACCTATCAAATGGGCAATTTTTTACTGAGAGCACCCAGAGTTACATACAATGCCAGAACAATTGGCTAATTTGAGGGCATCCTAGCTGGACTGGGATTGATTCAACCAATTTAAATTGGGTTGATGACAGCCAATTAAATGTAAAAAATGTATCTACTTTAATGGATTCATGTTTCATTGGTTGAAATTAATCCAATTTGGATTTTTTGAGTGCATCCCAGTTTAACTGGAATAACTTCAAACTAGATAATTATGCTGGAAGTGTATACTTTTCTGGATTTTCTCCTTTTTCTATTTGTTGTCTCTTCTCCAAATCGGTATGCTACATAACTTTCACAGACATGTCACTGTTATTGTAACTTACCTGAGACCTGAGTGAGTTGGTGGAAGGCTTCTCTTTCCTCATCCTTCCGCAAAGTCATTGCCGATCTCAGTGTTTTAACCTCAACATCCTTGAAACATAAACATTGCACTCTGATTCTTGGAAGCTGAAAACATTTTTTGAATAAAAACATACCATGCATCAGGAACTATTGATCAAGTGTGACAATGGAAAGTATTCATTGGAGAGAAGTGAATGTAAACCATTATCAGTCACATTTGTAAGATTTTCCAATTGTTTTTTTGCATTGATTTGTGATCATTTTTTGTGTCCACCCACAATGGGTAGGGGGAGTGATTTTTTCTAATCAAGATTCAAGAGATGGGGGATTTTGTTTTTTGAAATGCAAGTGAGGGGGAATCATGCATCAAAACATCTATATGAAAAAAATCCAGCATATATACACTGAGGTCATTTTTCCAAATCTTCGAGTGGCAAGTATTCTCATCACTTAATTGGTTCCTTCTTTGGAGGCTAATTTCAAGTCCCACCCCTCTAAAGTAAGAACAACTTCTTGACCAGGATCAAAGTACTCATATGAATTACTTAATCTGTGTTATTTTACATTGTGAACCCCACAGTACATGGGGTGCTTCACAGATTAATAGATGAGATTGGCAATGAGACTATGTTTCACATGCTGTGATGATGAGAATTCATTTTTTCAGATTCGGATATGGTTGGTGCAGGCTGAAAGTGCTGCAAGAATGAGTGGCGCGGTTGACAGATGTGACAGTTTACAGTTGGTGACGCGTCAAGTTTCAACAATGTTCTTCTCAACCCAAAAAAAGGTAATTGGATTTCAAAAAAAGGCCATCAATTTTTTTTCTTTTTCTTTAAAAAAACAAAGGGTTTAATAGACAGCATATATTAATGCTTATAATGATCAAAATGATAAAGAATAAGAAACAAAACTGGTTAGGAGATTTCTAGATATGATTCTTGATGGGAGGGTCATTGAGACAAGGTGGTGAGATGGTGTTAGCTGGCAAGCAAAAACCCATTACCCCTTAACTAGTTTACTCAATTTTTTGCTACACCAACTTCACTTTTCATACCTTTCAAAGTTTCACACTCATTCCACTTGTTTTCTCATTCATTTCAATATTTTTCATTATTAACATACTTCGAATGTGCTTGTATCTAGTCATCATTGGAAAGCCTGCTACAAAGTTTTTACTTCTCAAACTCTATTGTTTCTGAGACTTTCAGAAGAGACAAAATAATTGCCATATTTTCTTCAAATCATTTCTCTTCAATTTGAAGGTAAATCAACATATCACTACTTGAAATTAGTGTATTAATCTCACATTATCACATCACTGTGTGGAACTCAATAAGCCCGAACTTCTCAAAAAATTTCAATGGCTTGGGTGTGAAAAATGTGGACCAGAGTGGATCTATTATACACCCTGGAGCCGCCAGACAACTGCAATAAACTTCCATTGAGCAGATCTCATCACCTTTGAGCAACCCACTGCTGAAACAGGGATCCAAGGTCTTTGGAATGCATCTAATCTCAAAACAAAACAAGTTTCAAAAAATATCAAAGAAGAAGGATATGATGGTGATTGGGTAAGCAAAGAGAGATTGCAAGATTATTACATGAAATCCAATTGTAGCTCTCATTTAATTTTTGGGGTTCAAAAGAGTGACCCAACCCCACTGAACAAGGCACTTTTTGTTTGATTTTGGTTCAGAAATATTCTACAATAAACCAAAAAATTGGCTCTATTGTTTTGTTTTGTGTAGGGAAAAAGGGGTTCAATGAAACCTTTGATTACATAGTGTCATAGTATAAATATGATACTTATCAGGGGGTATTACATATAACCTAATCCACCATTATTCAATTGACTGGCTTGAAAAAAATCGCCATTTTTTTGAATATGTTTGTTCTTCATTTGACCCCTTTTGCGGCCCACTGATGCAAAATTTTGCTTGTGGAAAAGTAACAGGTTTCTAAGAGTGGATTTTTCATGTTTGATACACAGACACCCTAATGTTAAATTAGGTTTTTATCAATTTTCAGGTGCCTTTGAATTGATTGGTTGGTTATTAATTTGATCTTCCAAAACAGTCTGATGATATAAGTACAGCCTATGGCCCTTGATTTAGCTGTGACTGTTGGCCTACCTCTTTCTCACAGAAAAAAAAATCAAAACACCAGTTCAATTCTGGATGAAAGCACTTATTTGTGAACTTTGAATTCTTGAAATGAACCTGTGGAAAATCATATTTGGCATTCCGACCCTAATGCCAGTTATCATTCTCCAACCTATATGTCATGCATGGAATGTGGTGAAGTAGATTGGGAGGTTCAGAAGAAACACACTCCCAAAAAAGGCATTTGTGATCACCTCTTTCCCAGTGGCAGATGCTGCCCAGTGGAACATACAAAGAAGTACTACAAATGCTCTAAGGATGGATGTTGTAAAGTGATGATGAAAAACAGAGAAATTCAATCCGTCCCAAAAGAAGGCTGTAGTCATGATAACAAACATGTAGTCCCAGAAATACCACAACTTCCAAGTCCTGAAGCATCCTCTTCAAGTTCAGTTGTGCGCACAGAAAGCCTACCTGGGGGTGCCCTGTTATATCACTTCATTGATGTTAAGAAACCAGAATAAAGTTGAAACCTACGGTCACAGAATATTTTTCAGACAATGAATGAGATAAAACTACCTCACTTACTGGAAGCATTTTCTTTTCTAGCATAGTGTCAGAGATGAACATGATACCTTATGCATCTATAAAGATGTGGATTTTGTTCTTGCTGCTGTTTGTCAGGTTTCAGATACTTACTGGTGACAAGAGTAGTATCTAGAACTGTGATCTGCTTAAGGAAGTGAATTGGAGAGGGTGGAAATGAATATCTATCAGTGACAGTTTACTGGCACGGCTCAGATAAATACCAAAAGGAGATGCTGGCCAATTGGTGGCCATCCCCAAGGAATATGATGGAACTAGTAGATAATTCATCCAACTGTTGGAGAAAAAGTTGTGTTGCAACCACGACATATTAATCAATCTATTTTATTCATTTATTCACACCTGCGTGATAGATTATTCTTATTTCTTTATTTTTATTATTTTATTACTATCATTCTTCTTATGAGGGTGTTTAAACCTATCAACCCCTGACACTGTTGGAGATTGATGAGGAGACTTACTGTCAAAACAGTCTTGTCAACCAAAAAAAGAAAAGAAAAAAATAATGAAACTTCAAGTTTTCTTTCAAAAAAGAATGGTTAAATAGACAAGAGAAATTAAGGCTGAAACTATCAAAATGATACAAAAAAATGAGAAAACCTGCTTTACATATTGTATTACCATTTCCCCTTCAGTAATTGAATTACAATGGAAACCACGGAATTGGGAAAGTGAGACTGATTAACAACAAATATGGATCTGAATTTACATCTAAGGTTAAAACATAGAATGATATTTTGTTGATTCATCCCCAAGTTAAATGGTTTTCATCCATCCAACTGACAATTTCTTGGATGCTTCATTAAAATCCATCCAAGCAAGTCCTTGTTCATCCTGGGGACTGTCCACTTAACAAAGCAAATTTTGCCTGTCGCCCGCAACCCATCACACACGTGCCATCATACTTCCAGAAGTATTCTGGTTGTGTCATAGGCAATACTTTGATATTTTTTTCTTTCATTTTGAGATGACTGGGTTAATGGTTATGGAAATTTCATTGTTTGTGATCTGTACAGCTGATTATTTTTTACGTGCACAGGTCAATCTTGGAAAGAAATGAAATTATTTTCTGATCCAAGGAGCATGACTGGACTGCTAAGCTCAGGATGGTGAGCATATTCTTCTCATTGGCCAACCTTTTCAATTTCTGTGTGGATGGGGTTCAAGATAATTTTTAATGTAGGGTTAGATTAGAATACTATTGTGTGTCGAATATCCGAGCTGAAAGAGTGGGTCACGGATTAACTCACCCCATTCTCGACTGCAAAGGGGACACACTGAAGATAATTTCAACCATCTGGAGATACAATGGAAATGATACGCGTGCTGAATGACGAGGAAGGAGTGCCTCAGTCACCTTCAGTCGTCGGAGATTATAATAGAGTTCTTGAGAAACAGATACTCACATTGCAAGTTCCCCAGGCGACTGTACATGTCTCGGCAGTACTAGTAGCTTGATTGGCTTCGCACTCGTTGCCTATTGGCGAGTGATAAGATACGAAGGTCAGTCTTGATAATGCTGATAACACAAAGGTACAAATGCGATGTGATCCTCACAACGATCCATGATTTGGTTCCTGTAAAGAAAGTCAATAACATCAATTGAGTCGCCGTAAAAGGTATTCGACATGATTGAAAATTAAGATGAAATAATTACCTGCAAATTGCGCAATTATCAACCAGAATGTCCCAAGCCCACTGGGCTACCGCATTGCACTGAGAAAGAATCCATCCACCGTCGAAATGGGAATGCATCAGTAGATGTCTTCAATGCAACAAAGACTGAGGGGATGCCGATTGGAAAGGGTATTGAAACAAGTTGAGTGACCTTTTTGACCACAAATCGCGGTTCTGTGTTCGATGTTGCCTGCGGATCAGGTTTAGGTACCGGTTTCGAACCAGCATTCATCAAGTCTTCCATGTTTGCTAAAAAGTGAGAAGAGTGGCCTCAAGGGTTTGGGAAGGGTCAATGATGGGGAATATTTTATGGAAGGTTATGAACCTTTGATCAAGGTGCGCACGGCACACTCATCGATCATCCTTGCAACCTCGAGTGCCGGTAGGAGATCCGCTTTGTATGTACGCTCCAGAAGCACCACATTTAATTGATCAACAGATCAACACCGCCCAATCGACTAGGATCTACGTCCAGGGACCAAGGTGCATACTCTTCCCCTGTCACTCAATCCATGACCCGTCACGCTCAACTCGGAAGGAAAATAATCCCTGCCCCTGGGCCTCTTAGAATCTTTCACCTCTTCACACTGTCTTGGACGCCGCTCGTTGGTGGTTAATGGGCCATTTGAAAATGGAATGGCACTGCATATAAATCAAGTTCAATGAACTAACCAAACTACCACCTCTAGGTCGTTGTAATTTTTACATTGCTTTGCCATATTTGGTATCAGGCACAAGTCTGCCTTGTAAGAAATGTCTCATGAATTTAGCTACCCTTCATTCAATGTGTCTTTCAAGATTGAAGCAATTGAATACTTTCTTCATGCTAGACCTTGGTTCCTCTTGCTAGTTTTGGGTCCATTTCTTGATCAGAGGTTATCCTTCAACCAAATTTTCAATTGTTTTGTTTTGGTGTAAGGTTATAATTGGAAAAGCTTTGAGAATTACCAATGTTGAATTTGAACCATTTGCAATCCAATCAGATCAATCCATTGGTGGAGCATGTCTTGTTAGCTCTGTACCCCCTACAAAACCAGATTTGTAGCCCCTCGAATGAGATTTTCCTGTAAAATCTGACTCCAGTGAGGCTAAATCTGATTCTGTAGGGTCTTCAGATATTGACAGGAAGTCCTCCAATGGTATTAATATTTTGGCCATGGATGTATAAAAATTGAATTCTTTAAGTGAATTTGGTAACTGAATTGCTTGAATAATCTCTTCCAAAACTCATTCAAAAACCAACAGAGTGACTGTCTTGGGGTTCATGGGATCATTGCAGGAAAAGTTTTCAGAAGAGAAAACAAAACAAAACAAAGAATGTCGCTTTGGGTTGATATGTAGTACTAGTATGAGCGATGCATTGGTTTGGATGTATATTAAAGCTACTTGAAATGGAAATTAAAACGTGAATGATGTTTCTGCCCTCTCATGATAAATATAACTTCCTGGTGATTTGATCAGAACCAAGTAGTGAACCAACCCTTGTTGAGATCTATGCAACTTGTTGCTGATTTGTTAAGAAAGTATTCAAGCCTGCGGAATCTGGACTTGCAAAAACCATCTGAATTGATGCACCAATTGGTTTGCAGATGGCTCATTGAGCATTTTCTCTCCTTTGTTTTGTTTACCATTGGTGATCCATGGAGCTTCTCTTCAGCCTCGGAGTATTGAACAAGCCATCCCTTTCCCCAACCCGTCACGGGTTGACGGGTTACCCGTGTCCCTATCGCTTCCCCCGATCTCAGCTCTCCCCCATTCCCGGCCACCCCCGATTCAGATTTCTTTCAGACAGCAATCCACTCAGAAAGACCACTGCCAACCAACCAGAACCACTTAAACCAGAACCAACCAGAGAGAGACAAAGTCAAGGAAGGAAGGATGAGCTCAGTACAACTCGAGGAGGGTGAAGTAGAGGATAACCGACTCAACACCAGACTCTCATCATCACCAACCAACAACAAAAACAACAACAACAGCAACAACAACAACAATAATAATACTAACAACCTAACCATCTCACCCTCATCATCAACCAATAGTCACCACTTCAACTCATTACCACCCAAACCACCAACCGATCTATCAAAGATCAAGACGGCCATCAACCCAAATGCCATCAACGCACTCAGCAGGCCAATCCACCGATCTCCCAACAACCGCAACAGATCTCCAGTCGGCAGATCAAACTATCGTCCAACCGACTACCCTTCCAACAATAACACTCACAATAACAACAACCGACTCAACAATCATCTCTCACCCAGTTCATCCAGATCTCACCATTCACCAGCCCATCAATCACGTCCACCCGAGTCTGACTCGATCAAACCAACCTACCTTTCACCAGATCAGAACAGACGCCAGACTCGTAACCCTCGCTCCAATCGATCTCACTCACCCTCACTCTCCCCAACTCACTCAGCCTCCAGATCTCGACAAAGAAATAGATCATACTCTAGAGAGTCTAGCATCAATCATCATCATCATCACCCTTTCAAGAATCGCCGCTCAAAATCTCCCAGACCATCACCATCCAGTCATTCCATCTCACGTCACACTCGCAACCACCATCGATCACCCTCAATCTCACGCTCCCCCTCAAGATCACAACAACCACCAAACAAACGACAACGTCCACTCTCCCCTTCCCCACTACCATCCAGCCATCCCACTCAAACAACCGATCGTCCGATCAATCCATCGCAAAAAGAACTACCCTCATCCCCCTCAAAACCTCAAAACGAAGGATCATTTGATATCCAACCTTCAAATCGCAACCATCACGATCATATCCTTCACCCCCCACCTAGCACACAGGCTCAATCGAACCCACAACTCAGCAGTCTACCAACAACACAACTGGTCCCGTCCAGTCAGGAATTGCTTGAAAATAACTTGACTCGGAGTTATTCCAACGACCCTGAGAACAGTCAAGACCCATCGTCAAACCCTTCCAACCATCCCAGATCCATATTCCAAAATTACCAACCTACCTTCTTTTTTTGCCAATCACCCAAATCACGCGTCAATCCTGAACCGTCACTCACCAAAGAGAATGGAGACTCAAGCCAGGAGATAACTCGAACTGAATCATCCCAAGTCGAGCCAGTCAGTAATGGAACCACCAAGAAATGCTTCGTCGGAGTATCAAGCATCAGATCGTATGAATTAGTTGAAAAATTAGGTGAAGGAACTTTTGGTGAAGTCTTCAAGGGTATCTACCGAGGTCGGTTGTACGCACAACAGCAGAAACTGCAAGCATCAGCTCAGAACACCCTACGCGATGGCTCGGAATCGTGTGATGATGACTTCGAGACGGACGATCGGCTCATTGAAACCAAGAGTAAAGTCAAGTCCGGGATGGTCGTGGCCTTGAAGAGGATCATTGTACATAATGAGCTGGATGGAGTGAGCAAACACAATCCCATACGCGTCAATATGAACATGTAGAGAGAGAGAGATCTAATATTTCTCCCGTGCCCTTCTTCCTCGATCAAGCTACCAATCACCGCCCTCCGAGAAATCCGAATATTGAAATCTTTAGACCATCCCAACATAGTCCCTGTGATCGACTTGGCGTTTTCAAGAGGCGACAAGAATCTCTTGAAACGAGGTAATACCTATATGGTCTTTCCTTACATCGATCATGATCTTGCTGGCTTGATGGAGAACAAATCGATCACGTTTAATGTCAGTCAAATCAAGCTATATTCTAAACAGTTGTTGTTGGGTACTGCTTATTTACATCGGGTCCGTTTTTTTGCTTCATTTCTTCTTCTTCTGTCTTTTTTCTCTCTTTCGAACCTTAGCAACTTAAATTGATACTTTCACCACTTTCTTCTTCTTTCCCTTCGGACCCGACGATTGATGATCTGAACGTCGAGATGAATATAGAATAAGATCTTACACCGAGATCTCAAGGCGGCCAATCTGTTGATCTCCAATGAGGGCCAACTGATGATTGCCGATTTCGGCTTAGCTCGGTCGATCGAACAGCAACATAATAACAAGAAACGTGAATACACCAACTGTGTGGTTACCAGATGGTACAGACCGCCGGAAATTTTACTCGGCAATCGAAGGTATGGGACTCCCGTCGATCTCTGGGGCGTCGGATGTGTGATCGCAGAAATGTTCAAAGGCGGGCCGATCTTGACCGGTTCTACTGATGTCAACCAATGTGAATTGATCTTTCGGTTAGTGTTCTTATAATCATTAGCAGACCCACTTCAGCTACTCAGTTTTGTCAGCGTTTCTAATTTTGCCGGAAAAATTTGAAGGCTTTGTGGTAGTCCTACTTCAGAATCTATGCCTGGTTGGGAAAACCTTCCAGGCTGCGAGGGTGTACGTTCGTGGACTAGCAAGCCCAGGAGAGTTCGGGAAGAGTACGAGCGGATATCTCCCGAACTCGCAGACCTACTTGATCATCTACTTGTACTTGATCATTCGAGGCGATTGACGGCGGAAGAGGCGTTGGATCATGACTGGTTTTGGACTGATCCGATGGCAATTGACCCTGCAAAGTGAGTTTTATCAATTTCCCCAAAAAAGATTAGACCCCAGCCATTGATGGATGATTTTCCCCCCTGATAGACTGCCTCATTACGAACCCTCGCATGAATACGATCGACGCAAAAAGCAAGAACAAGCCAAAAAGACCCACCAACATCAACTTGCGTCTTTCACCGAGATTCAAGGGACATCTTCAATGGTGCCAAACAAAATCAATGGAAGCCAACCAGCTGCGAAGCCCCACAGACTTCCACTGCCCGCTTCTAACTCGAGACCTCCCCCAGCGTTCTTGAACGAGAATCCTTTTCCTTCGGATCCATTCAAACATCCAATCGGACCTCCCAACCCCGGAAACCGAATAGTTGCCGATCCAGGTCCACCGCCTCCGTTCCATCGCGCCGGTCTAAACCACGCCGTGAATCCATACAGTTCTCAAGGGTCGAGTGTAATGATGAACCAGAACGAGGGGAGGGGTGATGGTGATCACCGGCAGCAACCCCACAGCTCGTCTCGCCGGATGAGGCCGGAGCCGAATCGGGGTGGGCCCATGGGTTCCCACCCCTATCCGGGTCCACCGCCGAACCTTCCTGGCGGGCAGGCCCCACCTCTGGGGAATTCGGCACCTTCGATCGCAAGCTATGGACACGCCTCGCTGCCCTCTCGACCTGTGACGAGCTTCGACAGGGGTCCGCACGACCCGATGCGGCTACCGAAGCCTGGCCCACCGATGTCGATGATCGGTGGGATGAACGGCGCGATCGGGGGGATGCCGCCCGGGCCACCTTACGCACATTCCCATGGACTTTCTGGCCACCCAGAGCCGTATGCATTAGGCCCACCGCCCCCAATGTTACCCGAGCATGGGTCCCCAGACGAGCGCGGACAGCGAGGAGAGCCGTTTCCAAAGATGGGCTACTCAGCCCCTCTATCCAGTGGTCAACCGATCAGGGACACATACGGCGGCGGAGGAGGGTTCCGAGGACGAGACGGAGGCAGGGCGGATGGTAGGTTCAGATCGAGCCATGACCGATGGACTCCCGAGCCGAACTCGCAGCTTGGTGGGCCTCCACCACCCGGCATCAGCCCCTACTCCAACGGGAGGTCTGGAGATCGTCGACAGGCAGGAAGAGGAGGTGAGCGACGGTTCAGGCATGGTGGCGGAGGTCCTCCCGCAGCTAACGGGCCACACGACGGACGGGAAAACTTCCAATACAATAATAATCCAGCTACTCCTCGCAACTCTAGCAGCCAGTACTATGGTCCCCAGAACGGCCCCTCCGGCGGAAGTCCTCCCAACCCATACAGCTCTTACACCTACCCTCCGCCAGGCGAACCGATGGCCACACCGACTTCCAACCCCTTCAGCCATCCTGCGAACAACAGTAACAGCAACAACAATGGGCGGGGGGCTCATCAGAACGGCCATCCTAATCAACGTTGGGAGAACAAGCCCAACACATCCCTCGACTTCCGCTCCCCTCCAAGCCACAACAACAACCCGTACAACCACCACCACCCCCATCATCCACACCATCAACCCCATCTCCCACTCAGTCCGCCTAACCTTCCCCTCCACCACCACCATCCTCATCCTCATTCTCCACCTAATGGTAACGGGGCTGCAGGTGGCCCGTCATTCTACAATGGCAACGGGACTGCAGGTGGCCCGTCATTCTCTGATGAACCTCGCTTAGAATACTAACCATTCTCCTTCTCCTGGACTTTTGCTACTCAAAATTCAAGTTCTGCTATCCCACCCTTGTTCACACTTTTTTGTTGCTCGCTTTTCTTGACGTCTGTCATGCTCTCCCTCACTCCTCCCCCACTCTCTCAATCCCTTCTGTCCTCTTTATCCCCTCCCTTTTTTTGGGAATCGACATTATCAAAAATCGTAGATGCTCAACATCTATATTCCTCCTTCTCTTTTCTCTCTTTCTCTCTCTAGTCTGTCTCCATATATATATATATACATATATTTCTTACTTCTTCTTTTTTGGTTTTTAGAAAGTAGACAGATTTGTTAAAAAATGGCTTTTCATGTGGCTGTCTGTTTAAGTGAGAGAGAAAGAGAGAGAGAGATGATTATGAATTGAAAGGTAAAGAGATCATTACTTTCAAACTATTGAGATTTGTTAAACCCTAGTTCAATTCAGAAAGGAGGACACCAATAATTCTAGATTAGTGCTATATTCTTTGGACATACAATAGAGGTGATGTTGTCAAATTCAGTTGTCACGGAGATTTACTATGTGAACTCATGAACATCAAGAAATCCAGAAACTATGCATTAGATCCAGAGTGGTTAGAAACCAGAAAGGAAATCCACATATGTTGGAAGGTAAATTTGTCTTTCCTCTTGTTTGATTTGGGTGAACATTATGATTACAATATACTTTCTGAGCAAGATCTGCAGTTGAGTATATAAAGCCTTTGTAGCCGGAGATCAGGTGTAAAAATTCAATTGTTCATGGAAGAATCTTTTTATTCACTTGCCTCAATGCTTTTGATTGCTTGTGTGTTTTATCAACAATGATTCTCGTTGGCTTCTCTTATCCGTTTTGATGTTCAGGACATTTATTTTATAGGTTTTGGATTGTAAGGTGCAGGGCCAACTTTGATGATGATCGATAGTCCTGCATTCATCTGAGATTTGGCTGATCTGCACCAGGGGGGGTTCTTATTCATGCTTATATCGGGGGCGGTGGAGGAGAGGCCGACAGACCGGGCTGCTCGGGGGAACTCAGTAGAAGGATTCCGCACGTCATGTCTGGCTTTGTTACCCTGGCTCAACATCATCCTACAGTGGATTTCAACCGACGTACCACCAGATTTTAAAGTTACAAAAGGAATCCACAAAGGACACGTCCAACCAAAAAAGAAAAGCGCAAGGAGAAGAAGAAATAAAAACAAGCTTATTTTACGCAAGATAACCCGGTCGACTTGGGACCTGTCGAACGATGAGCGATCACCTCAAGGACGTGCCCGAATTTTTCGAGGTTTGCTTCTCCTCCTGTTCTCCTTTTCCCTTTGAAGTGTACCTGAATTTATTTTTTCTAGAATAAGGACATGAGAACGATATATGAACTGATGGGTGACGTTACAATTTATTATGGGTTGTGATGGGTGCTGAAACAGGTCGAACTAGGAGAAAGTTTAATTTCGCGTACCGAGTTTTTGACTTCGTTCAGAGAACTAGGACCACCAGATCTATGTCATCTCATCAAAACCACCAGCAAACCCGGATCAAAGCCACCTACAACCACAAATGGCGTCGAACGTGATCTGGGTAGTTATCATTACGTTAGTGGTGCTGATGCTAGTAGTAGTGCTAGCTTGGCAGCGTATTTGTGGGTCTTGTTTACTTATTCTTCGGCCAAACTTGATCAATTGTTCTTCTGAAATTGAAAAAAAGCGTGTGTTTTTTTTGACTGAAATTGGGGACTTGAAATATCTATCATAAAGGAATTCTTTAACATATTCGATCGAAGAAAGCGGAAGTTGGCTAGGTGGATGGGGTGGGGGCGGAGGTAAAGGCGCTTGGAGGATCAGAAGTGGATGTTACTGGTATACTTATGCCTTTCACCAGTCACCCCTCACATCTCCATAAGCTGACCCAGAATTCCCTTTACTCCTTAATTTTCCACAATTCATTGCCAAAGTTGCTTCAATGCGTTTTCAAGGGTGGACGTTCGAGTGGAAGTGAAGATTCCAGGAGGGGTAGATGCTTATCTGATCGACTTGCGTGGAGAAAAACATGAACCAACACCAGTGATCTGGACTGAAACATACGTCTCTGCGATCTTAAGAGCAATCTTGTACGCCGACGATCCGAATTATAGACTCGCTGGTTTCAGGAAAATCGATCCCATCACAAATCCTGAGGGCGAACAAAGATTCTTACGAGCTGTTCAGGAGATCTTTTTCAAAGGTTGGCAACTTGGTAGTGATCCTGAGATTCAAGTGGCTACTGTCATCTCGAATCATCTCACAACAGGTATCATGAAATATTTTGGTGATGGCTTTCGGTGAGTGCAATCTAAAAAAAATCAACACATTTGTTGAGACTGACAATTATTTTTGACTAACTGGGGTTTTTTTTTACAGATGGGGGCCAGCAGTCAACTTGTTTGAAAAACTGGCTGTGAAGGAGGTTGAGGTAGCTGCTCTCTTAGCCCAGGCTTATTTAGGAATGAGTAAGATCGCAGCTGGAGAATACTTCTTTTGTAGTAACTATTGTGTCTAATTATCTCTGGGTTCATACGTCTTTTCACAGATGAGGAAGTAAAAGCCGTCCAGGTCTTACATCGTGCACTTGAAGACATGCCCCAATCATACGCTCTCCTTCATGTCCAATGTGATTTTCTCAGATCTAAAGGAGGACAGGTATGTCAGAACTTTGTTTCCTTCACTTTTTGTCACGTCTTACATCCCTCGAGATTCGGAGGGACCTGATCATTCATCTGGAACTTGACCCTGCGCATTACGGCTTATTGTTACTCTACGGCAAGTAATCTAGTATACGGAATGGGCCCTCAAACTAGCCAGACAAGCGGTCAACTGTGCGCCTAGTGAATTCATCACTTGGGCAAAGCTTACGGAAGTCTATATTGAACTTGGTCGTTATTCCGATGTAACGCATGCTTTCCTATTTCACCCTTCAATCTCTTTGTCTTCTGGTTTCCTGACTCATTTCCCCCCCTACAGGCATTGCTTACCTTGAACTCGTGTCCGATGTTTACTTACAATGATCGGGATTTACATCGGATGCCAACACCGTCCCGCAGTCACTTACCCATCAAAACATTTATTGCTGAGTCACAAATTCTCGATGAAGATTCTGCCCGCGACAATGAAGCCGATATTGCACTGTTACGATTACCCGCGCCGTCTCTTCGGGGGACATTTTCGAAAGCTTATTCGCTGCTGACAAAACTGGTAATTCTGATTGGTTGGGATGAACTGTTGAAATGTCGGAGTCAAGTATTTGTGATGGAGGAAGAATATCGACAACAGCGAACGGAGACCGAGCAGCAAGGCTCCTTCCAGTCACATGCAAAGCGTTTTAGTACTTCCGCCATGGGTAATGGAGAGGGCAAGGCTGCTACAGACGACGCGCCGAACGCATCCTCACGGAAAGAGCCATCACCAGATCCACAAGCTTCCGCAGCTTACAATCCGCCAAGTCCTATCCCAACGATCACCGTCTCTGATTCGGAAGATCATCGGCCGTCTGAAGCGAGGAATCCGGTCGACGTCTCCTCCAAAAGTGACGACGAGTCTCGCCCAGACTCTCCGGTAGGCCTAGATGAGGCTTCACGAAGTCCAATGGCAGGACCTGCGAGCGGAGTTGATAAACCGATCGCAGCTCATCCATCGTCTGGTATAACTGACAAACAGAGTGAAAATACAGCTAGCACGGCGACAGCAGCCCCCCGAAATACGTTCATGAACAAAAGACTCTGTGAAAGATGGTTGGATAACCTGTTTATGGTGCTATACGAAGTGAGTTTCAGGCATCAGAGAAATAAAAGTAAATGAGCCCCCAAATATTCATATGTTTTCGTTTTGTGTTTGTTTACTTACTACTTGTAGGACCTAAGGGTTTATACGATTTGGAGGGCTGAGGTAGCGCATTTCAAGGCCCAACACATGCCGTACAGGAAGACAGGGACTGAGTGGGAGATTCTGGGAGATCTGGCGTTCCGATTACATCACAAGGAAGAGGCTAAGGACGCGTTCCAGAGGTGTTTGGAGGCTAAATTCTCGGCAAAGGCCTGGATGAAACTGCTAGAATTTTACACGGATGAAGGGGATGTTCAACGTAGTTTAAATGCGGCTATCAGGCTAAGCACATATCAACATCGTTGGTATATGGAGATGTCGGTAAGCACTCCTTCTTGAGTCTCATCTCTCTGGACCTTTCCAAGCACCATAAACTTGAGCGTTAACCTTAATTTCTGTATTTGGTCGAACAACGCAATTTTTTTTTCTGGGGTGGTTTAAGTTTCCAACCGCTGTAGCACACCAATTGTATAAGCTAATGCGCCAAGAAGGCGTGGCTAAGATCTCGTATTCTTTGGTTTCTATGAACCTGCCCCAACCGATCGTGAAAACTTGCATGCAAGTAAGTCCCATCCCCCTGCCCATCCCCGCTCTTTCTTTCTAAAAACTATAGTTGCTAGCATTTCCATTCACAGGATAGAAATCCTGATAAGTTTGTGTCTGTTTTGTTTGCCGTGAAGGGGTATTTTAATTATGCGCAAGTGTTCAGGATCGAAGGAAGTGATATCTAGGAGGGAGGATAGAAATCAATTACGAAGAAAGTCTCCCTTTATAAGTTCTTGTTCCTTGATACATTTTGTACCTCTTCTGCCTCAAATTGTTGTTGTTTTGCATTTAATTTTCAATCAGTTGTCCCTCAAATGACCAGCGCCACTATATACCTTGTCCACCCCAAAAAGCCCAACACATACCGCTTTCTGCCGCACTTCTGGCTTGTTTCAATTAGCTACCGAAATAGATAGATCTCTCCTCTGTCCTCCTGATTATTATTGACTGTTTACTCTTTTCTGATCTGCGTGTTGATCTAGTTTTTTTTCCTACTACCAGCTCTCTACACTTTTCCTGATGAACATTTCTTTGTTTCCAAAACAAATGAAGAAGAATACAAAATTATATGAACTCTTTTATATATTTCTATTTTCTTTGTTGTCTCTATTTTTCTTCCAGGTCCATTTTTCTCTTTACAGGTACCCTCTCTTTCAAGTGTGATTCAGAAGAGTTTAACTTACTTGATAAACCCATTTTCACAGGCTTTTTCCAAAGACTTGTAATTTTGTCCGTCGTTTTTTCCGAGCCCTTTGTTGTATGGCACGGACTTGGGACGAGACCGCACTCGCTCTCGCGAAGTGGTATTGCTGAATTTCTATCAACAAAACATGGATTCCGTCAGATGCAAACATGGGAACTCTGCTTCTGAGGTTTGATCCTGAGGGAATATGTACATAGATTGCCCTCTGGTCATGAAACATACCGGAAGTGACACTGAATGACTCCCGGCACAAGTTTCTATTTCGAATCCATGGCATGGAACAGTACTCCATAGTCCATGTTCCAGGGCACCAAGGATGGCTCAACTCGCATCCAAATCGTTTAACCGGTTGAGGATTCTCATACATAGCGCATCATCTTCTGACGGGAGAGACAACTCCAGAGAAGACGATAAACACCTGAACCGCGATGAAGAGACTTTCGAGGGCATTGATCGTTTTGCCGATTGTCGCTATTGGTTGCAATGCCCGGGTCGATCCCAACATATTTGACGGCCTGGAACCTCTGATCCCCGATTGGAAACTCTGGTATCGTGAAGACTGTTTGCCGGCTTATGATGCACATGCTGCTTCTTCTACTCAGCCCACAATTCTGCACTCATCCTCAGCAATTAATGAGCCAGCGGAAACCTCTCGGGACGTGGTCCGGCTAGACTCATACTCCAAGGGAGGCCATCTCACCGCCCAAGTCACTAGCCCCTCACAGGATCCCCAATCCCATGAAACAAATGGGTCTGAAATTCATTCTATCGTCAATTCAAACGGGTCGAACGATGGTGCAGAGGCTGATGATTTCTGGTCCACATTCAAGGCCTACGAGGAGATACTCAAGGGTAAGCAGACCAACACATCACCGGAAACCATGGGTTCGACCAACATCGGCGCACACACTGTTCCAGCCCGGCCAAAGATAACCAGGAAGGCAGAAAACTCGCTTCCAACTACCATTAAGAAGCTCAAGGCAGCCCAAGTGTACTCGCGGGCTTCAGCTGACCCAATAAATGGACTCGAGAAGAAATCGCTAAACTTTCAAGTGATATTAGATCGACCGACAAATACGATTGTGACCTACCGGATCGATCCGACAAAGCTGAACGAAGGGGGGCTGATTTTTCATTTTGATTACTTTCACAACAATAATTTCCAAAAGATTGTAATCAATGGAGACCCGGAGGAGACGTTATTCCTCGATTCCGACTTTAAGGCTAACTGGAAAAAACTAGGACTCCTTACCGATTCTATGAAAAAGACACAAAGAGAAACACAAGACTTGCAGGGTCCGAGGCGAACCGATCGGGCAGAACGTGCATTGGCGAAACTTCGATCAAAACACAAGATCTGGGGGAGCTACTATCGCAGTCGATTGGATCTAAAATTAGCAGCTACACAGTGTACTCACGACCGTTTGGAAACAACTGGAAAGTTATTATTCAGTTACTTGTTCCTCGTCGACATGATATCAACCATTCTACCAAGACCTTCAGGGAGCTTGGGCACGAGCAAAGCTCAAGTTTTCAAAGAGGCTTTGGAGTCCTTGGCGGTTTATGACCAATTGGAAATGAAAATGCCTCTAACCAACCGTCTGGTTCCAAGAGGAGCCTTGATTTCATCGATGTGGCGATACCTCAATCATTGGCTCAAGTCCGACGAACACATTATTAGCTTAAAAGTAGCTTCTCCTGGCTCAGGTATTCTAAAGAATTGGAAGTCGTTCTTCAATTTGGTTTTTACAGAGTCATTGGAAAGATTGACAACAGAACAAGAAAAATTAATCCTGTCTTTATAATAATAGCCTGGCCATAAACCCTTGATGATCCAAATTATTGCTTCATTTTCTTTCACTATCCAATGCAAATCTTCTTTTTTGTTGTTGTTTGAATGGAAGCTAAGGAGGACATGTCCCCCCCCCCCCCAAACACTTGCCACATAAGAGGCACTGGTTCACATCTTCACACTTTTGGGTATTTTCAGAATAAGTTAAGAGTTCATTTTTAACTTTCAATCTAAATAATGATGGAAAAAAGAAAGAAAGTATGTTTGTTCATTTACTATCAGTTTTCTATTTGAATCATTCCTTCAAGCCACTCACTATCTCAGCAGCTGCCCCAGAAGAAAAATTACCCAAAAATGCTGGAGATTGGGCCAAAACAATGGCCATAATCATGAGGTTCAAATACCTTCAGCCAAGTGACTGCACATACAACATGTTCAGGGTAACCAGATGTTTTTTTTTCTGGCTACTTTTCAACCCCAAACCAGCTGGATCCAAATTATATGAAGGCACTGGTGTGCCAAATGAGCCAAAAAAATAAAAAATGATAAACAAGTTTTTTGAATGCCCAAAATTGGCCATACATTACAAGGACTGAAACAGCCCCAAATGATGCATTACATAATATTCAAGTTGTTTCTCTTGGTATTTGTACTGGGTCTCTCAGAGTTGAGCACTTCAAAGGATGGTGTCTTGTTTCAGAGAGAACACTCTTCCTCATGGGAGATGCTTTGTGAAACTGATGGTGGACCACATTTTCCTAACATGCTAAATCAAGAGAAAACTCTTCCTCATGGGAGATGTTTTGAATGACTGATGGCGGATCACACTTTCCCAAAATGCTAAGTCAACCAAGTTCAAAAAGTTCATTCCAGCTACATACAACTTGGTTGTAATCTTGTGCACTCCAGGTTTTTTCTGCCATCCAAGTTCACTTGTCTTCTGTGTTTTTGCTGTCTTCCAAGCTCTTATATGGAGGTACTGACCTGCCAAACTTGTCAAAAAACCATTTACATTTCTTGTTTTTGAAAACCTGGAAAATTGTATTTTTCTTTCTGTTTTTTTTTTGTTTGAAACCCTGAACAATCATTGAAACCAACTGCCAAAAACATGACATATGAATAAACACCCTGTGCTACATAGAGCTGGTCTCTGGATATCCGTTGCGGATATCCGTTATCCGCTGGCGGATACCCGCCCGCTGTAGCGGATACCCGCCAGCGGATGCGGGTTTGGGTGCGGATGTGCCCTTTCCGCTGATTTTCCAGCAGATACCCGGGTATCTCAACGGATACCCAAGGCCGGAAGGGCAGATGGCCGGCTGGAAGGGTTTCCTTCCAGCCGGCGAGGTACAGATACCTCGCCGGTCGAATGGAAGGGAATCCTTCCAGTCGACGAGGTACATGTACCTCGTCGGCTGGAAGGATTTCCTTCCAGCTGGTACTCGACGGCTGGAAGGAAATCCTTCCAGCCGCCTCGCCGGCCCTTTAAAGGGCGGGTATCCGTGGATACCCGCTGCGGCCGACGGATACCCGTTACTGTTAGCGGGTGCGGATGCGGATGCGGATGGCCATTTGGCCTGAAAAAGCAGCCGGATATCCGCATCCGCGCGGATATCCGGATGCGTAGCGACCAGCTCTAGTGCTACATACTGGTTTGTATGAATAAAAGTTCTTCCAAGGCAGTACATACATGATCAAGTCCAAAACATACATGGTCCATAGGAGATTGACCTCTCCAACTCCCTCTGGTCCTGTTGCCCCTAAGTAATGGGACTCTTTCCTCCAATTCCTGAAGTGGGAATGGGAGTCAGCTCCCAAAATATTTCAATAAAAAATTATACAAAAAATGCCACGCAATGGGGGTTGTGGCCTTCACTATGCAAATCTTGATGGCCCTCCCGGCCCTCAAGACTTGTATACCCTTTAAAACTGAGAGGGAAACATGGTTCCTCTCGCCCATTGAGAGTGTAAAATATTGACATCCAAGAGACCCCTCTTGGCTGTTGAGTCTACACTCTCAACCAGGAGGGTCCCTCTTGGCTGTTGAAGATCCCCCCAGCATTGAGAGTGTACACTCTTGACGGCCAAGAGGATCCCACCTGGATGTCAAGGGTGTACACTCTTGAAGGCCAAGAAGACCCCACCCGGTGTGGTGGTGAGAGCGCATTGTGGTATACCTTAAGGGTAGCCATCTGGCCCATTTAAAAATTTTACAGTCTTTTCTTTTATTACAAGTTACATAGTTTTTTACACCTTTTTTCTCATATATCCACTTAAAAATCAACCAATATGGCTCAAGAACTGGATTCTATGGTCAATTTCACCCTTGGTCACCACTGGAGGATTCACTGGAACTCAACTGGATTGGAAACTACACCCTCTGGACCATCACTACACTCAATTACACAACTCACCACCAGGCAACTAGAAATGGTCTCTGGATATCCGCTATCCTCTGGCAGATATCCGCCAGTGCCAACGGATTCCCGCCAGCGGATGCGGATGCGGATGTGGATGTCCCCTTTCCCCTGAAATCCTGGCGGATGTCTGGGTATCCCAGCGGATATCCGCCCATATAGGAGGGAAAAAAATAAAAAAACAAAGAACAAACAAAAGAACAAATAAAAGAATAAATAAAACAAAAACTAAAATAAGGGCCTTAATAAAAACCCAGTTTTTCCTGCGTGCAGCACACGTAGATTCCGCGTTTGGGTGTGTTTTTTTGATCAATTTTTTACCACTTATTTTTCCTGTTTTTTTGAAATTTTGAATTTATGTCCTAGTCTTTAAAATGCGTAGAACTTTGTGGTAATATTCAATTTCTTTAAAAATCAAAGGATCACTTTGAAAATTCCAATCAAACACATCGTTTTCAATTAATTTCTTACAGCTTGTTTCTCAATAAT